TTTGATAAAAGTTTATGAAGACATGCACTGATGAATCATTCAAAATAAGACTGGAACATGAATAAGGAAAGTCAATAGATTTTATTGACCATATTCACCACAAATACAAACACCCTAGCAACACCCTAATACTACATAGAAAAACCCTAGCAACCATCTATAACACATATCACCTGCCTTGCAACCAAATGCCCAACAAAACTCTAGCAACCAGAAAACCCTACAGACTGCCTAGAAACACCCTAGCAACAGCCTAGTACCCCATAGCAACGCCCTAGCAACCATCTATAACACCTATCACCTGCCTTGCAACCAAATGCCTAACAAAACCCTAGCAACCAGAAAACCCTACAGACTGCCTAGAAACACCCTAGCAACAGCCTAGTACCCCATAGCAACGCCCTAGCAACCATCTATAACACCTATCACCTGCCTTGCAACCAAATGCCCAACAAAACTCTAGCAACCAGAAAACCCTACAGACTGCCTAGAAACACCCTAGCAACAGCCTAGTACCACATAGCGACGCCCTAGCAACCATCTATAACACCTATCACCTGCCTTTCAACCAAATGCCTAACAAAACCCTAGCAACCAGAAAAACCTACAGACTGCCTAGAAACACCCTAGCAACAGCCTAGTACCACATAGCGACGCCCTAGCAACCATCTATAACACCTATCACCTGCCTTTCAACCAAATGCCTAACAAAACCCTAGCAACCAGAAAACCCTACAGACTGCCTAGAAACACCCTAGCAACAGCCTAGTACCACATAGCAACGCCCTAGCAACCATCTATAACACCTATCACCTGCCTTTCAACCAAATGCCTAACAAAACCCTAGCAACCAGAAAACCCTACAGACTGCCTAGAAACACCCTAGCAACAGCCTAGTACCACATAGCAACGCCCTAGCAACCATGTATAACACCTATAACCTGCCTTGCAACCAAATGCCTAACAAAACCCTAGCAACCAGAAAACCCTACAGACTGCCTAGAAACACCCTAGCAACAGCCTAGTACCACATAGCAACGCCCTAGCAACCATGTATAACACCTATAACATGCCTTGCAACCAAATGCCTAACAAAACCCTAGCAACCAGAAAACCCTACAGACTGCCTAGAAACACCCTAGCAACAGCCTAGTACCACATAGCAACGCCCTAGCAACCATGTATAACACCTATAACATGCCTTGCAACCAAATGCCTAACAAAACCCTAGCAACCAGAAAACCCTACAGACTGCCTAGAAACACCCTAGCAACAGCCTAGTACCACATAGCAACGCCCTAGCAACCATGTATAACACCTATAACATGCCTTGCAACCAAATGCCTAACAAAACCCTAGCAACCAGAAAACCCTACAGACTGCCTAGAAACACCCTAGCAACAGCCTAGTACTACATAGCAACGCCCTAGCAACCATCTATAACACCTATCACCTGCCTTGCAACCAAATGCCCAACAAAACCCTAGCAACCAGAAAACCCTACAGACTGCCTAGAAACACCCTAGCAATGTTGGCGATTAACAAACAAATGAAATCACTATAAACATAAGTTACGTTAAGTTTAAATACAACATTTTAATGAAGAAATGATTGCAAAAATGAAATAATGAGCTACTTTTTAAAATTTGAAACTACAACCGCCAGTAGGTGGCAGCAAATGACTGTCTTAATGAGTGAGTTGACTCTTTAAATCAACCGATTCGTTTAAAATGCTAATTCGTTTAACTTAATAATTTCTGACGTACACTAATGACATATTCGTAATCCGAACCTTCGCGATTTCGTCTTCAACATTTGGCTGACGTAATCTAATTAATATTCATAGCCACAAGATTCGTTGCTTGCTATTTGGGCGGACGTCGCATTACGTAATTAATATTCATGAGCTGAGCCTTCACTGTTAATTTGCAATCTTCTGTTATGGACGTAACATTAGATGTCGTCTTATATGCATAAATAGTTTTTGTCTAATTGTTGTAATCAATGCAGTAGATCTGACAAAATATGTTTATTAAATTTATGTAAATGAGTATTTTATTAATAAACTAGGCCTATATTTAATAAAGGTCACTGTACTTTCTAACACAAACACGTTCATATAAAACTGTGGCTGGTTTATTCTCAGTAATTCAACCGATCTCATCTCAGCACTCGTAATTCTATAGAAACTATTTCCTGGGGGAGTAAAAAAGCTTTCCACTTGAACCACTTCCCACTAATGGAAAGTCAATTCTGTGGGAATAAAACCATAATCCTGTGTCTGAACAACCAACGGACCACACACTGTGACTTGGATAAACACACATCAAACATTTATTTACAACATCTTAAACAAAAAGAACATTTCATTGTACCTTCTCACAGCTGTTTTCAGAGCTACTGACTAAAACAACATGGCTGTAAACAGATTAGCAAAACCTAATCTAACCTTTCTGTTGCAAACAAGTTCATTGAGGATATAAGAGACGTGAGTAAACCGATTCTCCAACGCCATTTCTCCTATTCAAGCTGCTCTTGACATAGTTCCCAATCTAAATGGTTGTAAAATATAACATTTTGTACATTGTTTACAGTAGTGACATGAGAAACTGAGCCTTTGGAAACCGAATCACATGAACCGCTTCACAAAATGATTCACTGTTCCGAAGAAAATGGTCACTTCACGTCAAACTCGCTTCAGACATGCATAAAGACGCAACCTACTGAAAGTGTAATCTATTAAATATAAGATAGAAGTCATTAAATACCATCACGTATAAAGTTTGTGTAATATGTATTCTTTTGTAAAAAAAACTAGCCAATCACAAATGCTCTCTGGCTGTTTTGCGTTTTCAGGTTTGCTGACATCGGGTTGGCTGAGATGGCTGGAGGGCGGGGTTTTGTAGAGGGGGCGTGGTGTTGATGGGGAAGTATAAAGGCACGTTATGTTTATTTTAAGCGCGCACAAATGTGCGAACTCTTTCAACTTGGGTGGATTCTAATCGGCTGTCAATGTTTTTAAAGCTCATCAGCTGGGATAAAAAAAATCATTAGGAGAGTGATTCCAATGATATCATTCCTCTTTGTCGTTATTATTATACAAACCCGATTCCAAAAAAGTTGGGACACTGTACAAATTGTGAATAAAAACAGAATGCAATGATGTGGAAGTTTCACTTGACATAGTTCCCAATCTAAATGGTTGTAAAATATAACATTTTGTACATTGTTTACAGTAGTGACATGAGAAACTGAGCCTTTGGAAACCGAATCACATGAACCGCTTCACAAAATGATTCACTGTTCCGAAGAAAATGGTCACTTCACGTCAAACTCGCTTCAGACATGCATAAAGACGCAACCTACTGAACGTGTAATCTATTAAATATAAGATAGAAGTCATTAAATACCATCACGTATAAAGTTTATGTATAATATGTATTCTTTTGTAAAAAAAACTAGCCAATCACAAATGCTCTCTGGCTGTTTTGCGTTTTCAGGTTTGCTGACATCGGGTTGGCTGAGATGGCTGGAGGGCGGGGTTTTGTAGAGGGGGCGTGGTGTTGATGGGGAAGTATAAAGGCACGTTATGTTTATTTTAAGCGCGCACAAATGTGCGAACTCTTTCAACTTGGGTGGATTCTAATCGGCTGTCAATGTTTTTAAAGCTCATCAGCTGGGATAAAAAAAATCATTAGGAGAGTGATTCCAATGATATCATTCCTCTTTGTCGTTATTATTATACAAACCCGATTCCAAAAAAGTTGGGACACTGTACAAATTGTGAATAATATCTATATTCTATTGTGAATAAAATATAAGTTTATGAGATTTGTAAATTATTCCATTCCTTTTTTACTCACAATTTGTACAGTGTCCCAACTTTTTTGGAATTGGGTTTATAAATGCAGTTGTGGACTTGATTATCAAAACTTTATAGTTAGTTATTTTCTTTGGTGTGAATGAGCCTTAATTATGTGGCTGCCCAGCTAACAAAACTAACGCTCTAAGAACGTTTTGCTAACGCTCCCATTAATTAATAATGAACGTTCTCTAAACATGTTTCATGTTTTTTTTCATTGGCTATGCGAATGTTAAGTTAACATTGCATTTTATAATTTTGCAAACATTATGTGAACAATACTTTTGAATGTTCTCTGAAACAAGCAGTAACATTTAAAAAAGCGTTAGACAAACATCCAACTAAAACGTTTCAGAAAAAAAATACTAACGCTTTGAGAACTTTGAGTTCGTCTAACATTTAAAAGTTAGATGAACGTCCAACTAAAATGTTTCAGAAAAAAAGGTTCATGAACGGTGTATAAATATTGTTTTTGTGCTAACGTTTTGAGAACATTATTAGTTAGTCTAACTTAAAAAAAAGCATTAAATCAACATCCAACTAAAATATTTCAGGAAAAACGTTCAATGAACAATGCATATAGAATCTTTTTGTGCTAACATTTTGAGAATGTTATTAGTTTAACATTTAAAAAACATTGGAAGAATGTCCAGAAAAAACATTTCAGAAGAAAAAAAATAAAGTTTTGCGAATGACGTATAAATAACGTTTTTGTGGTAACGTTTCGAGAACATTATTAGTTTGTCTAACATTTAAGAAAACGTGAGAAGAATGTCCAGAAAAAACATTCCATGAACAATTTATCAACACTGTGCGTCGAAACATTTTGAAAACGTTAATAAAGAAAGATAAATGTTCTTTTAATGTTACAGGAAGAACGTTTATGAATAACTTTTAGCTTTGTTTTTAACTTTTTAATAATAACGTTTATTAAGAACCTTTCCAGAACGTTCTGAGCACATTCCCTGTCCGAAATCACATCTGAAAGCATGTTTAAAATTTATATTTATATAACAATATATGATGCATGCTAAAAAGATGCACTTTCATAATAGTAGGCACAATTAACCAGTGCAGTTATAAATATATATGTTCATATTTGTGTAGTTAAGGTTGAAGCGGTGTGTGTGTGTGTGTGTGTGATTGAGGTCAGTTGTAGCTGTCCTTGCGCAGCGCGGTCCGGTCCGATAAGCCGTTCTGATCAGGGCTCTTGTACTGGAAGCTGGTCCCGTTCAGGGGCACGACGCTGCTCAAGAGTGAGCCGGCCGGATAACACCAGCAACACAAACACGACTGACAGAGACAGAGAGACAGCAGAGATTAGATCCTCACAGCATCACTGCGCTCTGTTATCACACTCCTCTAGAGCTCTCTGTACCCTGAAGCAGTTCTTGAACTTCTTGCTGACGAAGTAGAGGATTATGGGATTGATGCAGGAGTTGATGGTGGCCAGATTTATGCTCAGGTAATCGAACACCAGCAAGAAACTGAGACACAAAAACAACAACACAAATAAGTGAAAATCAATAAACTGCACAAAATACACATTAAAGAATTGCATTTCTTATTTCATTGATGCATTACTATAAAATATGCTAGATTTTCTAATAGTATGGCTTTGTGTGTGTTATTATAGTTAATTAAAACTAATGAAAAAACTTTGTTTTTTTGTTGAAATAAAATATTAAAAAATATATTATTATTATAATTTTATTTTATTGAAATAAAAAGTATTTCTATTTTTTAATATAAAAACTAAACATATTAATACAACTTCATTTTTAAAGTTAGCCTAAAGATGTTTTATTTGCTTTGGCTTTTGATTAAGCCTGAATATTGTGAATGATTTGCTTAATTTGTAAGCATTTTTGATGTTATTTTAACATTGTTATGTTCATGCTATTATTGTATTGTTTTAGTCCAACTTTAAAAGTTACGTTTTATTAGTAAGTTACATTTTTATTAATACATTTGTTTTACTTGTATGTTTGTTAGAATATCTGTAATGTTATTTTAACGTTATGTTCATGCTCTTATAGCATTGCTTTAGTCCAACTTTAAAATGTAAGTTTTATTAATACGTTTATTTTTTATTAATAAATATGGTTTTATTTGTATGTTTGTAAATATTTGATAATGTTATTTTCCACATTGTTATGTCATGCTCTTATGGTATTGTGTTAGTCCAACTTTAAAAGTTAAGTTTTGTTAGGACGTTTAATTTGTATTAATAAAAAAAAATTATTAGTTTTATTTATTTTAGTACATCAAGATAAACTAAATTAAAATGAGAAATGATGCCTCAGCAACTAGCTGAAATCAAATTTAAAAAAAGAAATAAAAGTTTGCGTGCATGCATGCATGCGTGTGTGTGTGTGTGTGTGTGTGTGTGTGTGTGTGTGTTACTTCAGCAGGTCGCAGCGGCCGACGTCGTTCTGAAAATAAACCATCTTCTTCAGGATGCGACTGAGATGCAGCGGAAACCAGCAGAGAGCAAAGATCAGCACCAGAGAAAACACGGCCTTCGCCACCTCACGCCTCTGATCACACACACACACACACACACACACACACTCTCTCTCTCACACACACACACACTCTCTCACACACACACACTCTCTCTCTCTCACACACACACACTCACTCTCTCTCAC